CTCAAAACTTTTACACAATTCTCACATAGATGACAACTGACAACCTAGCTCACTCGCTTCAAGAATGGATACACTTAAACATGCATATTTTTATTTATTTTCTAAAGCCCATCGTGCCTCATTGAGTTTGGCCCTATCTATGAATAGGTGGACATTGATCCAACATGGGCACAATCTATCATATGACCTCATTATGCATGGTTAAGTCCAAATCTTTATCCTCAGGATTTTTCTGGAGCTTCTCTTTCAAAATGCTGCAATTTGCAATCACATAAATAAATTCTCTAACTTGCAATTTCTCTAACTAATTGTTAAAGCACCTGCAATGAGGCAACAAATCACTAGTGGACTACCTGCACCAGCCGCCTCACACAGAGCTCCACATTCTCTGCTGGCTCAGTTTGTCATCCATCGGCAGCTGACATTTCTATTTTACTTGCACATGATTACACTTATATTTATATATACTAAATGGGTTGGTGAGAAGGCTAAGGAAATTGATAGTTTAGGATTTAAACTTTGATATTCTGGTAGGAGTCGTACTAGAAATGGTGTATGTGTTATTATAGATAAGAGTTTAAAGGATAATGTTATAAATATTAATAGGATTGGAGATAGAATTATAGCTTTAAAGATTGTTGTTGATGATAAGATTGTTAATATTATAAATGTTTATGCTCCTCAAGTAGGTTTGGATATGAGTTCTAAATTAAATTTTTTGAATGACTTAGAAGAATTAATACAAAAGATACCTCTTGAAGAAAGAGTTTTTATTGGAGGAGATTTAAATGGACATGTTGGTAGAGAGGTAGATGATTTTAAAAGCATTCATGGTGGCCATGGATTTGGAACGACGAATGAAGGTGGCAAGACCATATTGGATTTTTGTTTAGCTTATGATTTTTCAATTGCTAATACCTTATTTAAGAAAAGGAATGAGCATCTCATCACTTATAAAAATGGATATAGTACAACACAGATTGACTATTTTCTTATTAGAAAACTAAATCGTTTAGATTACAAAGATTGTAAAGTTATTCCGAGTGAAAATTTATGTACCCAACATCGATTATTAGTTTTGGACTTTAAGATAAAGGGGCATAAAAGAAAAGGATTTAGTTCAAGTGAAGTGTATTAAAGATGAAGATCAAAAAATACTTTTCTTAGAAGATGATATTCAACAAAGATGGATGAGATATTTTGCTAAACTTTTTAATGAAGATTGTGAAAATAAGATTGACTATAGTGACCTTAGCACCCTAGATGAAAATAAAGATTTATAGTTAATGTGTCATACTTTAAAATTATGGGAGCGAGTTTTGGAGCATAGGTTGCGGCGTGATACTAATGTTTCTCAAAATCAATTTGGATTTATGCCGGGTAGGTCGACTATGGAAGCCATACATTTATTCAGAGGTTTGATGGAAAAATATAGAGGAAATAAGGAGGATCTACATATGATATTTATTGATTTAGAAAAAGCATATGATAAAGTTCCAAGAGAAGTGCTATGGATAGTTCTTGAAAAGAAAGGAGTTAATAATGCTTATATTCAAATCATTAAAGATATGTATGCAGGAGCTATTACTTGTGTTCAAACACAAGGTGGATTGACCAAGTATTTCCCTATTTCGGTTGGGTTACATCAAGGATCAGCCTTAAGCCCATATCTTTTTGCTTTAGTCATGGATGTTCTCACTAGACATTTGCAAGAGGATGTACCTTTGTGTATGCTTTTTGCTGATGATATTCTTCTTGTTGATAAGACTAGAGAGGGAGTTGAAGGTAAACTTGAATTATGGAGGTCAACCTTAGAGTCTAAAGGTTTTCGCTTGAGTAGATCTAAAACGGAATATATGGAGTATAATTTTAGTAGTAATAGACCTAGTGAGGGGATTGTGACTTTGGGCGATCAAGTCATTAATAAGAGTACACGTTTTAGATATCTTGGATCTATTGTTCAGAGTGATGGTGAAATAGATAGGGATATTATCAACAGAATTCAAGTTGGATGGTTGAAGTGGATGAATGCATCGGGCTTGTTATGTGATAGAAATGTACCCCTCAAACTTAAGGGAAATTCTATAAGATGGTAGTGAGGCCTGCAATGCTTTATGGTGCCGAATGTTGGCCATTAAAAGAGAAGCATAATACTAAGTTAAGTGTGGCAGAGATGAGGATGCTCAGGTGGATGAGTGGCTTTATAGGATATGAAATGATCATATACATGAAAAGGTTGGAGTAGCCCCAGTAGAAGATAAGATTAGAGAGAGTCGCCTTAGATGGTTTGGTCACATAAAATGGCGGCCTTCCGATGACCCGGTTAGGAGAGTAGAGGTATTAGATTTGACTTATGTTAAGAAAGGTAGGGGTAGACCTAAAAAGACTTGGTTAGAAAATATTAGGAATGACCTTTCTTTATTAGATTTAAACGAGAATTTGACTTTTAATAGGACACAATGGAGAAAAAGGATTCATGTAGCCGACCCCACGTAGTGGGATAAAGGCTTGATGTTGTTGTTGTTGTATATATATTTCCTTATTTAAAACATTTGTTGGTTAATATACTCAAGATGATACAGTAATCCCTTCTCTTTGTTTTCCGCTTTTTGCTTTCTTGCTTGTCTAACCTCTGTGCAAGTATCTTATTGGTATCAGAGCTATAGCTTCACCGCCCTCTTCTTCAAATGGCTGATCAGGATTCCTCCTCCGCCGTCCCTGCACCTTCTTCTCTGACTGCATCGATGGAAGACTTCACCGTTCCAGCTCCGCAAAAGTTTCTGATGTCTAATCTCAAGCTCATCATTAACCTACAGCTCACAAATGAAAATTACGTCATCTGGCGATTGCAGATACACGAACTTTTTGCCTATTAACGCCTTTGACGGCTATCTCACCGGATAGCAAGTGTGTCTCAGCGGACCTTCCAACAATCCAGACTATCGACTGTGGCAACTCATAGACCAAAATCTGGTCTTAGCCCTGCTCTCCACAATATATCCCTCAATTCTTCCCTATATCATTCATCTTTCAACTGCCAACCCCATTTGGACCAATCTGGAGAACAAACTCCAACTAACCAACCAGTCCCGGGTAATCCAGCTGAAAAATGAACTGCATAACATACAAATGCGGGATAGAACAATGACTCAATACCTTGCTCAAATCAAAACTCTAGTCGACAATATCAACATCGCTGGCTCCCATGTCGACTCTGAAGATATAGTGTTGTACATCCTCAACGGTCTACCGCCCACCTACAACTCTTTCAAAACTTCCATTCGCACTTCCCTGCAACCCATCAACCTAGACATTCTCTATTCGCTTCTCTGCAGCAAGGATATCAATATCAACAACGAGATTAAAAAAGACAACCTACACACAACTGAGAATCTCGCACTCTACTCCAGTCGCAACATATATGCTCACGGCAGAAGTAATGTCTCTAATCGGAGTCGTGGAGTCTCATCCCAACCTCAGTTCACCAATGCTCAATCTTCACCCTCCAACACCAATACTCGCCCAAGTTGCAGTCTTAATTTTCACTCAAAAAGATGGGAACAATTTCCATGTTCCTAGGAAGTCAAGTTCAGCACACCGAAGCATGTCTTTTTCTCCACCAATCACCTTTTGCACGTGACCTGCTCCATGCTGCCGATTTTTCATCATGCAAACCTGCACCAACATCTATGGCCCTTAAATCATCCCACTCTCAACTTTATGATCAACCATTTTTCAATCTTCCCTTTATTCCAAGTTAGTCGGCTCACTTCAGTACCTTGCAGTAACCAGACCCGAAATTGCTTTTGCCACAAACCAGATTTGCCAACACATGCATAACTCCACCAATCAGCACTACCAGTCTCTCAAGCATCTTCTCCGCTACATTCATAGTACACAGCATTTTGGTCTTCCTTTCACTACAGGAGATCTACCGCTTCATGCCTATATGGATGTGGATTGGGCAACTGACCGAAATGATTGAAAATCAATCAAAATCTCATGGCACGTCAAAAAGAAGGTAACAATCGCCAAATCCTCCATCGAAGCTAAATACAGTGCTCTCTCATCTGTCGCATCGGACGTCATCTCGTTGAGAAGACTTCTAGCTGAATTTCAAGCAGACCAATTAGATCCCACTCTAATTTACTATGAAAACACTTCGGCGATGACACTAGCTAAAAATCCCATCTTTCACAACATAACTAAACACATCAAGATTGACTATCATTTTATAAGTGAGCATATCAAATCCAATGCAATTGCCATTCTCCACATCAATTCCTTAGAACAGCCGGCAGACATCCTAACTAAACCACTATTCTCATCCCGATTTCATCAGCGGCGGACCAAATTAACCATCCAACCATTGGATGCTTAATTTGCGGGGGACTGTTAGAGCACCTACAATGAGGCAACAAACCACTAGTGGAGCACCTGCTCCAGTAACTTCACACAGAGTTCCGCATTCTCTGCTGGCTCAGTCTGTCATCCAACGACGGCTAACATTTCTGTTTTACTTTCACATGATAACACTCCTGTATATACTGTCTTATGTAAAACGTCTGTTGGTTAATATACTCAAGATGCTACAGTAATCCCTTCTCTCTGTTTTCCGCTTTCTGCTTCCTTGCTTGTCTAACCTCCGTGCAGGTATATCTTTACTACTCTCCTAAGATCCAACCCAAACTTATAGCAAGATATCGGTATTACTGCACGGACAACATTCGATCGATGAGTTCTCAAAACGTTAATAAGTTCAGCAAGCAAGCACTTTATTCCAAGCAGATGTTCTATCCATTGCCCCAACTCCATATATCTGCTAGTTTGTAATCAGAACGAAAATAAATAAACAAAGGTACGCGATGCCTAATTCTACCACTAAATCGATTAGAGTTTGGGGAATCCTATGCTAAACCCTACATCAATCCCCAAATCAATTAAATATAGAATATGCGACCAAATAGGGAAGCGATAGAGGGTCTATTGCGAGCGCTTACTGTAACCCATGATTCGATTGCCAGGTGCCTCTGCGACGTGGAAGTAGTCAGGCCATCGAGCTAGGTAAGACATGTAGAAGGACATGTTGAACTGTCAACAAGTGCGGGAGGGAGATGAGTAACTGTCAATGCATGGTTGAAATAGAAGAAAAAAAGAGAAAAACTCAAGAGCGAGGGAACTAACGGTCTCGGTGAGGTGATCGAAGTTGACGGGAGCGAAACGGAGGAGATCTTCGCAGCAAAATCTGCGGATCGTCGTCATCGGGAAGGGGAGGACTCGGCTTCAGGCTGCCGATTGAGGACGCTAGGGGCTTCGCCGGACTAAATTTTCAATACTGCAGTTCGAGTTGAAGATATGTGCGTGAGTGCTTGGATTATTCGATTAGACTTTAATTAGGTGGGTTTGAGTTGTACACTTATACTAGGATGATAGTCATAATTGATTAAAAGTTTTTATTTTTTAAAAAATGTCATAAAATTTATTTTGAGTCAAAATATCTTCTTTATTATTCATAAACTTTTTATTAAAATATATTATGAACAAAATTAGTTACAACTAGATAGTATTAGAATATTTGTTCATCACATAATTTAAGCATAATTCAAATTATTTTCGAATGAAATTGTGAATGAAACTTGAACCTAATTTGACAAAACTTTTAAATTAATCGAACAAAGTTCTAAAAATGGAATATCATTTAAGCAAATTCTCTCTACTGCGGTGCTACCCTCCATCCCATTTCTCTATATAATCTAATGGCTATTTGAGATTCAATCATTATGGTTCATCATCAATAGCCACTATCTCAACATAATAACCCGACTCCTTTATTAAATATCTAAAAGTTATTGCAGTGAACGATACATATTGAAAAATTACAATGGAATAACAATAATAATGCTCTCTTTTTCATTATTTTGCACATATGGTCTCCATTATGCAATTCCTATTTTCAATTTCATTACTCTATTTTTATTTAGGCCTTTTACCATGATATTAGAGTCAAGATTCACTCATTCCTTTTAATTAAAAGCTTTGGTAATATCTTCATCTCATGGATACTTTAGCTAATTCTGTTACAACTTCTCTAGTATTCTCTTCTCTCACAGTGGAAAAAATTCCATTCTAACTCAACTTAAATTATTGATGGCTATCATTAATAGTATTGTCCGCATCCAATTTATCATCAAACATCATCATCCCACGTGGATGTCTCAAGTTCTTAAGTTATTTCAAACCAATAGCTTTGAATGACACTTATATGGTATGACATCCCCTCCAAAGTTTTCAATCAATGTTGATGGAAATTGTATTACAATTTATGGATGTTGGCTAATCAAAATATGGCTTCAGCTATCTAGTCCTTATTTCTTCCTTATACTTTGAATATTGAAACATGATGTGATGTATGGGAAATGTTGGATAGGAAGCTACTATTCACCAACTTATCAAGCAATTTGCAAGAAAAAAATAGGCTACACAACTTATCCATGAAAGAGTAGAAAACGACCCAATATCTGGCTAATATAAAAGTGAAGGTGGATGTAAGTATAGATGTTGATTCTAGATCAAACATGGAAAACATAATAGATAATACTTTAAATATTTAATAGTTTATCACCAACATAACAAGCACTGAAAATAGCAATTCACAATACACATCAACCTATTAATCTAGATGACTTGTACTCTCTTCTTTACAACGAAGAGGTAAATCTAGCTAATGAAGCAACTTGTGATAATGCCTAAAATCAATATATACAAAATCAAATGGAACTGAGTGCTTATCGTAGAGTGTGTCATGAGAGAATAAGTCAACCAACTTTTATCCCCATGGAATTTTAAAATCTAATAGAGTCATGCAAATCTTTCAAGCTCCTAATAGAGAAAGATTTGGATTTAATCTCCTTGAACTAGATGAAGAAAATAAGGAAAAAAACAAAGAAAAAAAATAAAAAAATGATTTAATCCCCACTAAATGTTGATTTTTCTATAAAATTGGAGGCTTAAATGTTAAGTGTGGTATCACATTGATTCAAGTTATCATCCAATTCCATTCGCTAGGCCATAGACCTGAATCAACTCACATATCCATAAAGCTACCAAATCAACCAGCAAGTTACAAGTAGCAATGGAAAAATGCTCTCCATTACTCAAATTGATCATGGCCTCCTACCAACTCCTACTTGTAAGCTCCTTCTCCCACAACTTCTTTATATTCATAAGAATCCCTACAATCTACTTTCAATCCAAAAAAAATTATTGCTAATTATTATTTTATGTTTCAATTGACTCTTTTGGTTGCACCATTAAGGTCCGAAAGACCAATTTCAATTACTACAATGACATTGTTGTAATTGCATGTATGACATACGATTTTTTTCCTCATAGTACAAAAAACTCAATTTGTCATGCTTTACCCTCCACATACTCCAATTCAAATGTGTGGCAACAATAGCTAGGCAATTCTACTATAGTACGTCTCTCCATCTTATCATAAGTAATTTCCAAGTTAAGTTTTTCTTCTAAGTCTTTTCATATATTACATGTAATTTTGCTTAAGGAAATAGATTGTCCTTTTCTATTTGTATAACTAGAAGCTCTACTCCACTTAAAACTCATTTATAGAGATGTACGGGAACCTTACCCGACATAATTCAACAAGGCTATCGCTATTATAATTTATTTGTTAATGATTATTCTTGTTAGAGAGGGGTTTATCCAATAAAATTTAAAGCACAAACTACCAATCATCCATACATTTAAAACCTCCATTTTAAAACCATTTCAATCAAAAAATCAAAATAATCTGAATGGTTTGTCATGGTGAATATTGCAATTCCAACTTTCTTACCATGCTTAATAACTTTGGCATCTCTCATTAGCTTACTTGGCCATACACCCCTCGATAAAACCGAATTGGATCGGCCGATTCAATCATGAACCGGTCAAGTTGTTGGTTTGGTTCAATTAGATAATTGGATTCTCAATGAACCGGAGGTTCAACCAAAAAATTGTTGAACCGGCCTGTTCAATATATATTAAATTTTAATATTAACTTTAAATTTAATTACTTTTTTGAAATTTTAAATTTATATTTATATTCATATATACAAATAAATTTAAGTAGTTGCCAACTTGTTGGATTATACAACTTTATTTGTTACTAGTGGCTTGTGCTTTACCCTATATGAAAAGAACCATTTTAAATTCTCCTATAACATGGGACTAAAAATTTGTGAGAATTCTGCATGAGAGTTTAAGTTTTGAACTATGAAATTACTTATGCTATAGATTTAAGCTGAGAATGCATATAATTTATAAAAGTTAGGAACATAAATTTTTTATATTATAAAATTTATATGTTATATTATATTATTATACTTATTAAAATATATTTAATATGCATATAATTATATTTGTAATATACACATACTTATATTCACATTAATGGTTAATCAAGCTTTTTAATAAGCTTTATGTTGAGCTTTAATTGAACATGTTCATGAGATTTAATCAAAACAGTTATATATTCTTTGTTAAAATTTAATTATTACCTAATTTATATTATATTTTTAATAATTTAGTATTTATTACATCATCTAGTTCAACCCCGATTCGACTCCGGTTGAACCATCGAACCGTAAACCTCTTATTCTTCTGGTTCATTGTTTGTTTTGATATTCACAACCTTGATAAAAATGATTTAACAAATTGTACAATCAACCATCCCTTATGGCATTCACTTAAACCCAGCTCAAGATGCATTCAGTATTCTGCATTGAGCTATTATGGATAATTCTAAATTGATCCAAAATTAAAACCCAATAAAATCTACAACCTCCCATGAGTTACAACTACAATTTCACAAACCCACTTTGTATCATATTCTTGTCGGCTCTCTTCAATACATAATCATATATAATGTTTATAGTCAACTAATTAAGCTAAGAAAAGAACATCCTTTGAACACATAGTTTCAATAGCTAATATATTTATTGTGGTATCTATAAGGAACTATATAATTTAGATTACCAAGTCATCATAAAAATATTCACCTTCATGCTTAGTTAGACTCAAATTGAGTTGGTGACTCTTCAAGCCATACATTTGGTACAAGTTATTATGCCTTTTTAGGAAAAACTTTAAATTCCAGTGTGTTAATGTGTGCTTTAAATTAATAACACCTGCTACATTACAATAAAGGGCATATTGTAGTTAATCAATGTACTATATATGTCCGTTGGGATCAATACAAGGCAAACTAATTGTATGAGATTTTTTCTATAAGAAATGTGGCTCCAAATATAGTCTATTTTAATTATGGGGGGTCAAGATTTCTCAAAGGAGAAAGCTTCTAAGATTAATTATGTCTCGAATGTGTCCTAGAACACTCTTAATTTAGGACTTAATACTCATGTTCGAATCATGGACGATTGATGTAGGTTTGATAAGGTAAAATTTAGAATGAAAAAATGATAAGAAAGTGAGGACTAACCTACCAAGTGGGAATGACGCCCCTGGTCAAGACACCCTAGTTCTTTCAACTTAGGTTCATCAGTTCCTTTAGTCTACTTAGCTATATGGTGACCTAAGGATCTTTGTTAGCAATTATGAGTTACCTTATCCAAGAGGACTTCATAGACCAAGCATATGGATGTAGTCCTAAGTTGATAGAGGAAAATTAGAGTACCTTATAGACCAAGCGTATGGACGTAGTCCTAAGTTGATAGAGGAAAATTACACTCCACTATAGTAGTAATTAAGGGAGAAACTTAAATTAGACTTATAGTATTGTTTAGTGGTATATGCAAAGGTTGACAAAGCTACCTAGGTTCTAAGGTTGATGTATAGGAAAGAAGAATATTTTCTTCATGTGGGATAGGCAACACTAGAAATGAGATTTATAACTCGATCACGTGTGATTGAGAATGCCCAAACATCTTCTCAATGTGGTAGAGAATATAAGATGAATACAACATATTTGAAAATCTCTCCTTAATGTGGTAAAGGAAATGAGACATATTTGAACATTTCCTTAATATAGTAGAGAAGACATTCAAAGAGCGAAACTTACAACTCCTTTACTTATGATCGAACATGCCTGGGCATTTTCTCAATGTGATAAAGGAGATGTCAAAATGGACTCATAAATTAGCAATGTAATGACCAAAAAAATTTTAACTATATATATTTCAATTTCAAAAATTCAAGCTCAAATATTTTTTTTATTTCTTCAAAATTGAACATGTAATCAATTTATCAAAGTATTTTAAAGTTTGAGTGTAATGCTTACCTGTGCAATGTTTGAGAATAAAATAGCTTGTGATGACCGTCATCAACAAAGTCTATGGTGTGTGGAGGTTTCCCGATGTTGGGAGAAAGCCTAGC